TATTTGGAGGAGCAGATCGTTTTAGAGGCTCTTCTAGGGCTTCATTTGGTGATAAATGTGAGATCTTTTTGGTAAAAGACTCTATCTTTTTTAATTTTGGAGCTATTCTTCGTTTGTTCCACTTTGGTTTGTTGGTAGTTTGAGAAAGATGGTCGAGAAAGAAGGAGTTGTGGAGGGTACTTCCGGCGTGAAGACCGTCCAAAGTTTAAATATCCACTCTATGAAAATAGATGTGGAGAAGTTTAATGACACAAACAATTTTGGTCTTTGAAGATGTGAAGTCTTGGATACACTCAATGCATAAAATTTAGAGGATACTTTGGAGTTGGACGGGAAACCAGACGACATTAAGGAGAAGGTTTGGAAGAAGATAAATCGAACGACGTGTCGTGTGATTAGATCTTGTTTAACTCAAGATTTGAAATATGATGTGATCAATGAGACTACGACTAAGAAGATTTGGGAGATCCTAGAGGGCAAGTATTTGACAAAGAGTGTAGAAAATCACTTGCATTTAATGAGGAGGCTTTATCGCTTCCAATTAAAGAAAGAAACCTCTATTGGTGATCACATAAACCACTACACAAAGCTTCTTGTGGATTTGGCAAATGTAGATATGATGATTGAAGATGAGGACAAGACGTTGTTATTGTTGAGTTCCTTGCCCGATGAGAAATATAAGACCTTCGTTCTTACTCTTATTAATAGGAATTCATCTTTTTCGTATAGTGAGGTCACCGCTGTACTTGTGAATTATTAGCTTCGAAAGAAGGATAATGAGACTTCAGTTGAGCCGGTAGCAGGGGCATTGGTCACAAGAGCAAAGAGTCCAAACCGAAATAGGAGGTCACAGTCTAGAGGGCCACATCCTGGAGTTCGTAGGAATCAATGTGCCTTTTGCAAAGAAGATGGATATTGGAAGTCTGAATGTCCAAAGTTAAAAAAATAGAACCGGGAAGAATAAGAGGAAAACTATTCAAGCTTCAGAGGTGAATGTTGTCAAGGCTAGTGTTGACAATTTAGATTCGGATTCTTCAGGCTATTCATTAGCACTACCGTCAATTTGTGTTACCGACTCTACAGAGTGGATGTTGGATTCTGGTGCTTCTTACTACAATTGCCCTAGGAGGAATTGGTTCTCTAGTTTTCAGGAGTTGAAAAGAGAGGATGTCGTGCCCATGAGTAATGATCATGAATACCCTATTGGTGGTATCGGTACCATTCGTATTAGGATGTGGGATGGAGTGATTCGGGAGTTAGATGAAGTGAGGTTCATTCCTCAGTTGAAGAAGAACATCATTTCACTCAGAGTTTTGGAGGCAGCAGATTATAGGGTGACCTTAGAGGATGCATGTTTGAAGATCACATTTGGGTCCATGATTGTGATGAAGGGCGTCAGGAGGAAGAATTTGTACTATTTGATTAGGAGCACGGTAATTGGTAGAGAACTGACGACTTTTTTATATTTGTCTAGACTGTGGCATTTGTTGAGGCTGAGATATTTGATTGGTTATGTCATACATGATTTGTTGAGGAGTGCTTTGACCTGCACATTGAAGTCCTTTGAGCATATTGGTATGAGCAAGAAGACCGATGTGGAGTTTGACACTTCTATCCATCGATCGAGAGGTCTTTTAGGTGGTGTTCATTCAGATATTTGGGGGCCTTCCAAGAAGGCATCGTTGGAAGGTAATATGTATTTGATTTTTGCAGTTGGGGACTATTCTAGGCATTGGTGGGTTGTAACTAAGTCCCGTTGGTTTAATATCCTAGAAGTCAACAACAGATGGATGAAGTGTGTTGGCAGAAAGGTAACCCGTTATTTTATTTTTGGTAGGGGTTCTTTCTTGTATTTGTGCCGAGCTCACGACAGTTTGAGACACTTCATTGGAGAGGAGATATTAGGGCGACGAGATAAGATGACGGTTTTAATAGATCGTTCCTTACTGGAGGAGGATCGACATTTGTTGTCGAGCATTAGATTGCATAGGAGTTTTGGAGCTTCAACATATTTGGGTCATCTTAGTCATAGGTTGTCGACTACTGCGTTTGGATTTATTGGATCTGGTGGAGCTGCTTTAAATTTTAGGTTGCGTCGGATATTTGGTTGCCCAACATTTTGTCACATCGAGGATATGAGATTTGATCCGATTGCACATTTGGAATTCAGAGGCTCGTTTGGTTATTAGTTGGGAGACTCTAATTTTGTTCTGGGCAGGTATATCACATTTGACTCTCGGCAGGTGGAGAGTGTTGATCAGATCATTGAGATATCGCAGCGGGTGAAGGATGATTCTACTCCACGTTGGGTGGAGATTACTCCACATACTCTAGATCATATTATATCATTTGGGATTCCAGCTGAGGTGACACAGTTTGAGGATCATTTGGATTTGGATGCAGATGATGAGTTGGTTTTGGATTCAAGTGCAGATGGTAGACATAGTTTGGATTTGGATATGGCCGTTGGTTCATCTCAGGTTGAGGTGTTTAGTTTGTTTCACTTTGGGGCCATTAGGAGAGCTACCAGCCGTAGATTTGTTGGTGATGTTGGAGAAGGGTTGCGAACTCTTCTAGTTGATTGAGGGCCTTCGGAGGCCATTTGGTGAACTACGTGAATGCTTGATTCCTTGAGCAAGAGGATATGTAGGCAGTCATTTATGATGCAGCCGGTTTGGTAAGTTGATCCCGACATTTGGAGTTTGTTCGCATTCTCGTTTTGGTTCTCGACTTGTTATGGATTGAGTCCGTTATCGTGGATTTGTTCCACTTCGTACTGGACGCAACAAGTGAGACGTTTGGTTGGTATTGGTGTCGACTCAGTTTTGGGGAAATTTCGCCGAGGTGGAGAGTTATTGGATAGCAGGTTCCTAATATGTTTCCTAATTTGTTTTGGTAACAGGTTATTGGGATTCCTAATCTGTTTTGGTAACAAAATTCCAAATCTGTTTTGATAACAGATTATTAGGATTCCTAATATGTTTTGTTTTTTATTTTGGAATTCCTAGTATGTTTTTTATTTTAAGATTTCTATATATATGGAACAATTGGAAGAGAGAATTGAGCAGTGAAGGGGATATTTGGAGCACAGAAAAGAGGTATTTTCTGAGCTATTGGTTAGAGTTTTATTTGGAGAGAATTAGAGATTTGTTGGTGAGATTAATTGGTGAGTTCGAGTGATTTGTAATCTTAGTTTGTACTCTTCTTCTCTATTAGTGAAAACTCCATCCCCTTCTTGCCCCGTGGACGTAGGCAACTTGCCGAACCACGTTAAAATTGGTTGTTTGTGTTCATGCCGTTATTTTGATTGTATTTGGCCTTCTCTCAGCGTTTGTTTGACTTGGTCTCTCGAAGCACATCGGTTCGGTTTTGGCTTCCGCCGCACACAACAAAACAGAAATTGAAAGAGATCGTCAAGGTCATATTGTGCTTGAGTTCACAGTCCATCCCAAAAGGGTGGGAAGCTGATCTTAATGTGTGTGACGATGTAAGCACTTGTATTTCAATAGCTTTCTCTCAACAATTTACAAATGTCAAAATCTGGAGAACTTAAAGAGTAAAAACTTTTAACTTTCACGGTGTGGTGACATGTGGGCTCCTGTTGAGCATAGTATTTCCGGCCACTTTGGTATTGCTATTTTCGATTTGTTTATCTTTTTAAAAACTCATCAATAATGGTGTTCGGTAAAATTATTATGTATGCTTATTGAAATTGTTTTTGCTTTTAAATGGAGCGCTTTTAGAAGCAACATAAGGCTGCTTAGTGGCGAATCAAGGATTATTGGGAAGTGGTGTTGCTGCTTTATTAGCAATTTTAAAAATTATACAATTGCTCTTGACCAATTTTATATTCTAAAAGAAATTACATATCATCATTAGAGACACCAAATGCATCTTGGAAATGATAGATATAATGTGACGACTCATTTTGCTAATTGACCTACCGAGAAATAGCTGTGTGGTGAGGTCCGTATTGTTAGTCACATAAAAAGATGTGGACCTCAACACTCTACTTTTAGTAATTTCTTTAGTCAAATAAGCTGCTACCTCGTACATATTATTTTTATATATCTTTCTCAAGATAAGTCACTAGTAATAATAGATCATGGACTTGAATAGAAAGGTTTGTCTTTTTAAAAGATAAATTCAGTAATCCCCTTTGAGTTAAGGAGTTTGTCAGCTAACTAACTTTACACAGAAAACTCTCCTTAAGCTCTAGGGTTCTCATAAAACCCCGTTAACCTTTCAACATCTTCCATAAAATTCTTAAATGGCGTTAACCATAATTTTCACATGGGTGAATAAAATTACTCATGCAGATATTTTTACTAGTGAAATTGTGGTTCAAGCTATCAGGTGTTTTTAAAAAAAAAATTAAAAAAATAATTTTTTTTTTGAGAAAATTAAAGGACAGGGGGATGGGGTTGTAGCATTTTAAAAGTTAATGAGAGTTATCTGCGAAACCCCACAAGCTAAAGAGAGATCCAGGTGCTCCTTCATCAAAGTGTGGTTACCTGACCCACTTTTGGTGAATGTGAATCCATTATTAAGGATGCTTTCTAAAACAACTGCGGTTGTTTGTAGATTTATATACTAAATTTTTCTTTTACAAAAGCTAAAATTATATTTATTTCACTTATTTTTTACTTGTAATGATTTTTAAGCACATTACCAAATAACTTAACTGCTTTTGAAAAAGCAAATTTTGATATATAATTATTAAACATTTATTTTTGCCGATTTAAGCAACATTTAAAAGCAACTTATTATAAACTGCATCAATGCGAACCAAAAAAAAAACTTTAAAAATGATATATTAGCAGATTTTAGGGGTTGACATAAAAATAGGATAGTGTAGGGTGTACCTTGAGAAAAAACCTCCTAACAATTTGGGTACACGGATTGAACCCGACCCGGAACTAAAAAAAGGGTAGAACCCTAAAATGGTCCGATCCCTAATCTCACTCCCGAGAACCCGTCTCCCTCTGTCGATTCCCCAACGAACGAGGTACGTGATTCTTTCATGTGAATTATGCGCTGGATCTTAATTTCAATTTTGGGTGAAAATTTGAGCCCCGCAGTAGTAATATTTTAGATTTTGGAGTTGGGGGCTCGCACAGTAATCAACTGCTAAAGCTGGGGTTTTGAAATTCTCAGAATTAGGGTTTTTGAGTTCGCTCAGCTTAATCAGTTTGTATTTTGATTGTGCTAATTTTTTTCGTGAGAACTTGATGTTGTGTCATTGATGCAATAGGCTACATTGTTTATGACTATGCTCTATCATAGCAAGGATAAATTTTAGGAAAACCCCCTGAGTTTTTGGTGATTTTCACGAATTGGTATTGGACTTTAAACACTTAGGGCTTGTTTGGATTGAGGAGAATGAGGGTGAAGGGAAGTTAGGGGAACCATTCACCTCCATTCACCTTATTTGGGAACACTTAGGAGGTGAAGTTAATTCACCCTAGTTTCCCTTGGTTCACCCCCTAATACTATAAAATTTGTTACCCCCCAAATTGGGGTGTAACCAAGGGGAAGGGAACTCCCTTCCCTTCCCTTCCCTTCCCTTTACCCAGTTTACCTTAACTTCCCTTCAGCCCCTACAAATCCAAACAGGCCCTTAAGAAAACCTTAATCTTTTAGAAGTTTCTGAAAAATCCCCCTGAGCTTTTGGAAACTTGCACCCATCGAAATACCATAATTTAAAAAATAACCTTCCTTTTTCAGTATAATGTAGAGCGAGCGTCTCCGATATTTTTCTCATTTCCTTATATTCTCTCTTCCCTGGCAAAGCCCATAGTGGGATTTGCCCCAAAATTTAGGCAGAATTCTCAGAAAGTTCAGGGTAGTTTTGTGAAACTTCCCAAAGTTTAACGGTTTCCTCTAAATTTTAAAATTCATGATCACTTTGTGTAGGATACCCCAAAGTTAGAGGAATTCTCTGAGATTTACCCCCAAAAAGAGAAAAAACTAGTTCTGAGGTGTCATGTAGCAAAATGAGATGCCAAGATCAGAGTGTTCTGGATCAACTATTTCTATGTGGTCACCAAGGCTGGACTAAACACTTTCTATCTATTGATGATCCAATTAGCAAAATGAGCAGTCACCTCATGTCCTTTTTACCTAAAATATTATTTTGATATAGTTCACTACTTCACTCGAAAAATCTGTTTATATAAACAAATTATGCATTACGTCTTATTGTGTTATATGCACAAAATGATATATGGTTTCCAACATATGTTAGGATGTCTATGTTTATATTCCATGCTCATAGGTAATATGCTTGGCTGATCGATTGCCAAAGAACTGCACTGGTTGTTAATAGATTACCATTCCCTTATTTTACACGTAGTTTTGGTTTAGGAAAGTTTGGAGGATGCTAATAGGTCTTCTGTGGCAAACCCTCACTTGTTCATATTTTACTTGATCAGGAACTTGGTATTAGTTAAGCTAGGATTGGCGTGGACGGTAGGCGGTCATACAATTTTGTTTTTTGTCAATTCTCTCTATGTTGGGTACAAACAACATAAATACTGTCTAAATTAAGCATACGTCCTTTGTATGTATGTTTGTATGACATTTTAAATAGCATACTATTTTCCTTGTATGTGTGTTCCAGATTTCTTTTTAATAATGGGTCATTGTACTTATTTTCCCTATGTTATGTCATATTAGAGTTAGAAGCTCTTTACTTCTTGGTTATGATGAAATTAGTTCTCTTAAGGTTAGGCTCATGGGTTAACAGTGAGTATTGATTGAAACTGTAGAGAAAGAAGATCAGTTGGGCTATTTATAATTTGGACGGCGTTCTGTAAAATCAAATGTCAGGACAGTAACTAATGACACTATAGTAAAAGAGGGTAGTTAATACCAAAGTATACTCTCCACAAGTAAGAAGTTTTGAGCTTAATTTCCACCATTTATAGTGTATTGCTCAAAGAGTCTTTTTTCCTGATGAAATGAGGGTTCAATTTTAACCATTGACAATTAGAATGCCTGAGATCTTTCTGCTGAGAATCATTTGATAGTTGGAGTTTAGTGACATACAGTGGATGAAACCGGTTCAAGTGAGTTATGACTTATGAGTGAATTTAAATGGGTGTGTTGCGTAAAGGCTCTATTATCTTGAGTGGAAAACAAGTAAGACCTCTGCTTCCTTATGAAGTTTTTGATTTGCTCCATACTGACTAGATCTCCGGTATTTTATAGAAGTAGCTCAAACTCGACTGGAGGGATATTTGGGTACTGTATATTTATTCTTTTGACAATAAAGAAAGCTCATGATGGGCATCTCTCCAAAAGCATCCAGCAATTTTTTGTCGGAAGGGGATTTTTTTTCTTGAACAGTAAACTAATATTCTAACTTAAATGGGCTAAATTAAAATGGGATACAAGTTTGTAAGAGTTGGGGTGCAAATATATGTAAATCATGGGGCAAAAATTTTAAATCTAGAAGGCTTAGTAATGCAATTTTACATATTCGAGGGGTGCAACATCACCCGTAGGCATGTATATAAATCCGCCCCTGACTGTGTCAGTGCAGTCACCAAATTTAAAACCAGTGATGGACACTTTTCTCAATGTCCTTCCTCCCTATATAGAGAATCCTTTATTGAACTTTTTTCTTAGTTTTGTTCTGTTTGTGATCATGGATTTGCTTCTCATTGATCTGCTCAATACTCTACTTTTCAGAACCTAATGCTTTCTCTATGCAGGATCCAGTATGGCAGGGAGAGGTCGTATGCCTCGTCGCCCGGTTCATGACGAGATGCATGGATTTCACGATGGACCTCCGCCTCCATTGCACGACCGCAGACCCATGCCACCACCACCACACTCTATCGAAGAAGAATTGGCTATGGGGCATGATGAGATTAGAAGATTGGTTTCTGACAACAGGCTTCTTCTTGATGAAAATGTTGCTATGAAAAGAGAAATAGACGCAGCTAGAGAGGAACTCCACGTCCTAGGTCAGGCTATTCCTAAAATACGTGCAGAGAAAGAAGTCAAAACTAGAGAATATATACAGATGGGTCTGAAGCTAGAGGCTGAGCTTCGTGCCGTTGAGCCTATGAGAGCAGAGGCCGTAGAGTTGCAATCCGAAGTAAAGAAGCTAGATGCTCTGCGCCAAGAGATGACAACAAAAATACAAAGTATGACGAAAGATCTGAAACGTGTACAGGCTGAGAACCAGCAGATACCCAAGTTGAGGATGGAAATGGAGAGCCTACATGAGGATCTTGTTCGAGTCAGGTTAGTAGTTGTTTTCATTAAAAAGTGTTTTTGATAGATGGAAATAGTGTCAGTTGTTTATATGAGTCCTCTAGATGACTGCATATCAGGATAGCAAGCCTTGTTAAGTCATCAAGGGATGTTCTTATCTTGGTCCTCCGTCCTCCAACTGTATAGCATTAAGAAAAGTCCCTCAAAACACTTAATTAATAAATCTCCCAATTCTTATAAGTCATTCAAATAAGTACCTCCTCTTGCAAACCATTATTTTTAACCCCTAGAACTATTAAACTTTCCCATTATTCCGACATATTATTTAGAAATTTTATGTGGTGTGGATTTGCTATATTTGAATTAGAAATTATTGCTAAGACAAGATTAAACAACATTTATATAAGGACAATCATCAAAACCAGAGGGAGAAGAGAAAAACAAGTGAGCAATGGAAAAAGATAGGGAAAATGAAATATTTGAGTTGAATTTTAATGTATTAAGAGTTATGTTGTGTGGAGACTTCTATCATGAAGCCACACCTGTCCCGACACTTCCAATACTTGTACCTGTATCTACCCCTTGGACACTCCTTGTGTATATGCATGTATTTAGTCGGACGTGCAGTCAATTATATAACGCATGTTTTAGTTTAAACATTTAATTATATAATAGATAATAAAAGAAACAAATAGAAAATGTGTTATAGAAATTTTGATTTTTCATAACATGTGAAAGAAAAAACAACACTGATGTTATGTAAATTATTAAATTCTAATGTGTATATAGTCGTGGCCCGTACTGTATTTTTTATAAATTTGTCGTATCACATATCTGTACACGTATTCATGCAGCATAGGTTAAGAGGGATGAAAGCATAAATGGGTATAGCCTGTAGCTGGTAATTGGTAAAGAATAATAAGGTATAATGTGAAGCTTTAATGGTTTAGTAAGCTGAGGGGCTTATTTGAATAACTTATGAGATTTGGGGTTGTAGTTAAAATATATGTTTCGGGGTCCATATTTTAAGCCACTAATGATTTAGAAGACCAATATCAGCAAGCCTAGTTATCAATCTGGCTTTTTGATCTTTTTGAGTCTTGGACTTCAGCTGTATGGGGAAAATTATGTACTCCTTTATTCTACTAGCATATTAGTCCTCTGACAAGTTGTTAGAATCTTTTCTTCTGCCTATAGTTCCCTTGGGAGGTTAGTCAAATAGAACTCAAAACTAAAACTAGGATAATTGTGGGATAATATTTTATTTATAGTATTAGTCAATTAGAACTAAAACTAGAACAAAATTTTACAGTGTTAGTTAAGTATAGAATTGGGATAATGATACAAAATTATCTCACTTTGTTTTATTTTTCTATACAAAAATAAGAGTTCTAGTCTCTCAAATTATTCCAAGTTTTAGCTTGGAACTAGATGGTAAAACTAGAACTCATATTTATTTTGTTATTAGTTGAGATGCACATGCAATGCAGTGGTTAAATATCATGATTATTTAAATTAATAAAAATAAAATAAAAATAAAAAGAAAATAAAGTTTTGTGTTGGATTGATCATCAATTCAATAACATCTCTCAAATGATATATCGTCATTGTTTCCTTCAACCAAGATTGTGACCACGTGGTCTACTATTTGTGAGTTATAAACACATTAATCTAGTACATCTCTGTTTATTAGTATCTTAATGTCTTTAAAAGATGAGTGATCATTTAATTCGTAAAGGAATTTTTTATATGAATTTACTTGTAATATATCTATTAAACTTTTAGTTGTGGTTTGACTCATATTCACACTAACTTTTAGTTACAGTTTCACTCATATTTACATCATCTAATATTCTCATTCAATTTTATAGCTCATTCTAAATTTTATTGTGAAATTAGAGCAGAGAGATTATGATATATTTCGCCATGTGCTCTAAATATAAAAAAATTCTTCGATGTAAGGTCCCTATCAAATCTTACCCTAAACGATATGAATGAAAAATGTTATTATAACTCACTTGTCTAGGGCAATGTATTGTATATATGACGTATAACTCATATGGAATATCCACATCTGCTAAGTGGATTTTGCTGTTGTGAGAGCAACATGGAGGCTCATATTCAAACATTTTGACTCTATAAAAGACAATAATTTGGAGTGCATAGTTAATATGTCGTAAAGAACATATTGAGTCATGAAGAATTGTCCCTAATAATGATATTATTATAACGATATTACTATTTAGTATTAAATCAATTTTATTTTATAAGATTATATTATCATTTTTAATCTAATACTATTATAAAAGTGGGTTGCTATGTTAAAACATTTCTTCCTAAAACGCCCTTCAAAACTCATACATGCACTCATTAAAAACATACATGCATACATAAATTACATATATGCACACCTAAATCATAGCCCTTTGAATTAAACACATCCATACATGTACATATACACATATAAATTATATTATATCTCTTTAAATTCATTTCATAACCGAAATCATCAACTCATTAGTTTTTTCCTAGCAGAGACATACTCGGCATGCAAGCACTTTTTTAATGACAATAATGGCGAAAGACAAAACTTCCAAAATATTAATATTTAATACAGAACGACACCTTATATAGTAATGAATACCGTATGCTTGGCTTCATTTTCCTAACGCATGAATTATGAAGCAACAATACATCAACGTTTGAAGGAAACAGTTACATAGTAGCATGCTATTAATTAATTAAATGTAAGAATACCATAAGGCACAAGTTCTCATAGGATTTTGATTAATTATCGTACTATATATAAACATCTTAGTTCTCTTGGTAAATCGAAACTGGAGGAATACGACAAGGTCAGGTAGTCAATATGGTAAATTAATAGTTTTATTTTAAAAATTTATTTTATTAAGATAAACTCATTCTTTTATCATTCTCTCAACTTGTCTATATTTTTTTTCCTTTTTGCTTGACTAATAGAGTGATATGATGTATATAAGGTTGTACTTCATGGAGGTAACACATACAAAGTATGAGATGAAGATATATTTCAAAGAGTTGCCACCCCTAACCGTTGTTAGACACAAGAGTTACATTTCCATTATTGCATGTTAAATTAAATTAAATTAACTTATGGTTTTATAACTCCATCAAACCCACTTAAATGACATTAATCCAATCAAAACTTTTGAAATTCTTCTCTTTTAATTGTACCATTATATCTATTTAATGACATCCAACTAAAACCTCAAAACTTTCCCATCACATAACCTCTTTTACTATTATTATAATGTAGCACTAGCAACGGCTCAAATATTTAGTCCATTAAGAAGGAAAGTCATAGTATTTATTAGAATCGGTTGCTTTTCAAGCTTCCTCTAGATAACCTGAGAGGAGTTTTAGTTTTTCACTTAAGAGAAATTTTATCTATTTTGGAGGATCGAACTTCAATTTGTAGAAGTTCTATAATGCACGTGCAATTTATAAAAGTTTGTTAATGTAATTTCGAGCTTATTAGGCATTGAGTAAAATTATTTTTTAATGTCAAATGAAGTAAATATTAATTTATTCTTTAATTTTTTGAGCTCAAATAACTAAATAATTTTATTTTTACATTTACGTTTGTACCATATTCTTTAATTCTTAACACCATATGTTAATTTTGACCAATTGACTTTCCATCAATTATTCCAAGTATCTGGAGTTTTAAAATTAAAGGTAAATTAGTTGCTAATTTTAAACAAAAAAATTAATTTACAATTTGTAAATAAAATTATATCCAACATATATAACATCAATTTTATTATTTAATTGTTTGATATATCGTTATAATATATAATTTTTATATTTTTAGTATAATCACAACATATTCCCGATTATTTCATCAAATATAGAAAAGTAATATGACTACACTATATTCCAAAATGTATATTTTAAGTCTCTTCATCATTTTCAAGCCATAGAAATGTTCAAAAAGTAAAAGAAGTATGTATACATGCAATTTTGAAAAAGTAAAACAACTATATATATGAAAATGAGTACACGTGCAACGCACGTGCACCATACTAGTAAATTATAAAGTATATATATGAAAACTTCAATGCTTATAGCCAATAGTTGGGCTCCACAAAATAGGTTCACTTTACATCGTAGTTTGCTATTTGTAGTACTGTTGGCAATGTCATTACATTTCCTCTTTATCTTATTATTCACGCTTTTCTGATGTAAGTTCTCTTTTGCTAATCACTCAATTGGTCATTTAGTTTTTATAACATCAAAGGTTATAATATTTTCTTCTATTTAAAAAGTGTTGACATGATTTTCTTAAAAAATATATAAACGTAATACCAATAGTATATATTTCAGTTCAACTCAAACATTTACTTGAAGTCATCTAAGGTGAGGTCCTTTTTAAGCTACAATAATGATGTAGTGATTACACAATCCAAAAGTCAAAGAAAAAATTTCTACAAAGAAAAATAACTTAATATGTCAAATTAAAATTTATAAAATATACATGGGTGGTGCAGATAGCTATACAAAGTAACGTATATATCTTCATAAAAATTCTATAGTGAGTAACCAACTACAATCATCCTAATTTAAGCATAAATAATTATTATTTTAGTTAGTAATTTGATACCTGTAACTATGGAATAAATCTCAAGCAAAAAATAAGAATTAAAATTGTATTAAATTTAAAAGTAACAATTTAAATTATTAAGTGCTAAATATTAGTTCATGTGAGAAAGTAAAGTAATCTATGGTCTATATACATATATAGTCAATCAATCAAACGTATTAGAAATATAATGATCACAGTTAAAATTATATGGTGGATTCACATTAAATATAATTTATTAATTTATAAAAAATAGTACATTAGAGTTAAAATCCTTTTAACTACTATATAGATTGTCTAATTTTTTTTGCATATATAAATTACACTGCTTAGAAACAGTGATGTGTTGTACACTTAACTATGGCCTAATAATCTTAAGAACGACTTACTCTTCAATAACATCATTAATTGACGTATCTATGTATTACATTAAAAACATAATAAAAATTTAAAAAACTATAAAAGAAACACCCTCAAAAATTTTAAAATTATAAAAACATCCTAAAATTTTGTAATTTACAAATACACAAAACTATTAGACATTACATTAAAATCAATGAATTACAAAAAAATTATTAAAAATTTTCAAACTTTGGAGGGGTAATTTGCAATGTGCTAAACTTTAAGGTTGTTTTTCTGTAAATTTCAAATTTAATAGATTTTCAATCATTTATGTTATTTTTAAAAAAGTTATGGGTAATATTGACCATGAAATGTTTTTTCTAAACCTATACTTTTAAAGTGAGTGTGATATTTTTATAAAATTTTAATTTTTTAGGGGTTGTTAGTAATTTTGTATATTTGTTTTAGTGTCTATAGATTAGAAATTCTCATGGTGTTTTTTTTATAAATTATAAATTTTAGGGACTTTTTGTAATTTTTTAAACTTATAGGCATTTTCTACTGATTGTAAATTGTTTATAGACTATTTATAATTCCTATGCTTTCAATTTACTAATGAGTTTGAAATTCTTAGGGTGTTATTTGTAAATTTTGAATTTTAAGGTTTTGTTTGTAATTTTTAAAACTTCAAGGGTGTTTTCTATAAATTATAAATTATGTAGGGAATATTTGTAATTTTTATATTTTCAATGTACTATTAGGTTAGAAATTATCAGAATTTTTATAAATTTTATAATTCTGAGGGCTTTATTTTGCAATTTGTAAAAAGTTCAGTGTTTATTGCAAATTCCATAAAATTTCGAGGGTGGTTTGTGTTATTTGTAGGTTTTTAGTGTGTTTATAAGTTTGAAAATTTCAAGGTGTTTTTTATAAATTTTGAATTTTTATGGGATTTTTTATAATTTTCAAAACTTACAAGATATTTTCTCCCAAGTCAAAAAACTTTTAGTTTCTAGCTAGCATATATTTTTCAGATTTCTCACTGAATTGAAATAAGTAAAATTTGTAATTTTTAAGATGTTTTAATAAAATTTTAAATTTGCAGGGATGTTTTTGCAATATAAAAAACTTGGAGGATTTTTTTTACGAAGTCTAAAAATATTTAGGTGCTAGCTAGCATATGTTTTTTAGATTTCTCTGCGAACTGAAATAAGAAAAATATTTGAATTATATCAAACATATTTTCTTTATCCAATAACATGTTAAGTCTCATTATGAAAATCATTTAGTTACTAATTCAAAGAAGATAGGATAATTAGAATAGATTAGGATAATAATGTAATATTTAAAAAAGTTAAGGGTATTATTGACCATGAAAAGATTTTTCTGAACTCGTACTTTTAAAGGGAGTATGATTTTTTATTTTTTATATTTCTTTTTTTTTCTTTATTTCTTTCCTATTATGGTTATCACCATCATTAGACCACCATTATAATAATAATTGTCAATATCTTATAGTCTAACCAAAAGTTATTTAATACTAGAGAACATTCTTGTAAGCAATTATTAATCAATAATAGTAAGTTTAGAATACATAAATAGTATTTATATCTTCAAAATGCATAAACATATACTTCATGATTATAAAAATTTATCCCACGTTATTTTATCAAAATATCTCGTTTCACAAAATTGTTCCTATTTATCCCACTAAAATATCCCACTACCGAAAAATTATTCCACTTTAACAATTATCTCATTTTGCATGAAAATGTTCCAATTGACTAACACCCCCCTGATTGGCACAATTTCATGAAAGTTTGGTTAATCGAACTTGCATCCTTTAACGATATAGATTGTATTCCATGGTAGACATTTTTTAGTGGGAAAAACGCCGGATAAAGATAATTTTCAATTGATTAGATGTCATCAGTGATGGATCCAATATTTTTGGGAGTGGCGTCACCCCACAATTAACAAATAGAAAAAATTACAAACTTAAATGATTCTATACTTAAAGAGCTTCGTGACTTTATATGGATTTATATTACTAGGAAGTCAATATGGATACCATGAAATCTTTTTCGCTAATGTTTGAGATAATAAGTGGTTTAAAATTCATTGGCGAAAAAGATTAATACTTACGGAACAGCGTAACAGCTTTCCAATTTTTAAACTGCTAATAAGTAGTATAAATCATAGATCTTACTAAATAGTTAACAACTTATCAAGTTGAGGTTTGAAAATGGTAAGTTGTTAAGAATCTGTTTTAGGCATGAAAATGATCAATTGTTATCTGGTTGAGGAAATAAGTTCTATTAAATCATGAATCTTACTAAGTAGTATAAAACCCATGTTGCCCAATGAAGTCAATATTCTATCCACCTCTTATTACCTCACGAAGCACCATCGAAGCACCATCATTTATAGTAACCATCCCTTGAAGGAAGTGGTGTAAGGTGGATGTGCTAGTGGATGTCATTAACTAGTTTTCCACAATTTTAACTTTGTTGTTGTTGTGACTTAATGTTACTTTTCACTGGCTAGCCCAAGACAGGATTAAGGAGGGGATAGACAGCACAAAACCAACTTGGATCTCCATGATGAATCCATTATAACTAATAATCCACAATTTTGATATAGCTGATTGATTTTATGTATTGTGAATGTGCATTGTGCTAACAGGACAGGCTACGAATATGAGCAGAAAGTACACGTTGAGCAGATGGAGCAGAGACAAGCAATGGAGAAGAATCTTGTTTCAATGGCTCGGGAAATTGAGAAATTGAGAGCTAGAGGACCCGGTAATCTTTTAGCACAATTGTTTTATGGGTTAGTTGCGGATACACCCGCTATGCTATGGTGGTGTTGCCACTTATATCCTCTAAAATATTTTATTAGCACTTGCATCTCTAACCGCAGACGATGTTATGTGAGCCTCTCCAAAAATTAGAGAGAGTTTCATGAGGGGCTTATTTTTGGTCAAAGCATGAGGAGCTTATTTTTGGTCAAAGGGGCTGTTTAGCGAAGGTTTTCTATCTTTCTGTTTGGTAACATTCCAATAAGCTAGCTTTAAGCCTCATTTAAAGTAGGTAGGATATCGTAACTTTTGAAACCTAGCTTATAAACTCTACCTAAATAGCTAGGTTTGACCAGGTAAATGATTATTCTACCCAAAAGCCCCTAAAAAAAAGCTAACATAGTCTAAAAAGCAAAAAGTCAGCAGAACCACTAAAAGCCAACAGCTTATAAGCTTCTAACAATAACCCAAACACCCTCTTAAGTCTTTTTTCTATTTAACTGAGGGCAAAATATAATTTATTGTCATGAGATTCTATATGACATCACTTGGTAAATAAAATAATGTCGTTTGAGGCTCAAGGGGTGTAAATGCTAATAAAAAAGTTTAGGTGGTATAAATAACTGCACCACTATCATATAAGGGGTGTATCTGCATTTAGCCCTTCTTCTAATTCTATTAGTCCTTCGTTCTCCTGTTAAAGTCGCCTCCTATTTTCTCTTACAGGTACTGGGACTTACGGTGCTGATATGGGTTACCAAGCCTCGTATATCGACGGTTATGGCCGTGAGCAGGGACGTTATGGTGCTGGCTCTTGGGCGCCTTATGAACAACGTGGCTTTCCTCGTCGCTGATAGATTTCTCAAGCTATTTTTTTCTGGTTCAGTTTAATTGAATAGCCTAGGAGGAGGGGCATCTTGGGCTACATCTGAACGTATTTAAGTACAGATGTATATGACATTTTAGACTTCTAACAATGTTTCTGAGTTGTGTGTGGCTCCAAGCTTATATGGGAGCAGTATGGAATCTTATAATGTGTAGGTGGTTCCACAATGTTAGAGAACAGAAAGATAACTTCGTAAGGTTATTTTCAGTGTGGAATTGCTCTATCATGTGGGTAAGTTTTGGTGACAACATTTAAGGGTTCATAAAACTGCTGAAAGCCATAATATATTTGTTTGGAAAAGATGCGTATCGGTTGCTAAATGAGCCATTGAGAGACAGTGGAATTTCGATGTGCTAAACGAGCCATTGAGAGACAGTGGAATTTCGATGCCTATCGGCTAGTGATATCGGAGTAGATGTTTTTTGGTAGCTCAATTTGCTAAATGAGCGGATGTGTCATCTCATATCTAATAATATTATTATGCTGATTTGGTTTTTAGAATTATTAATCTTTGAGGTCTTTACTACTGCTTCCTGATTGTAAAATAGGCGTTACTGTGTGTGATTGCCTAACACAGATTATTTATGCTGATGCTTTGTGCGGAACTACTTATAAAATAATTATGTTATTTAACATAATTTAAATATTTATATATAGTTGTTATAATGGAGCACGAGAAAAATATTTTAATTTTATTTGCAAACTGTCTCTTACGAGATAAACTTGATAGTTTGATTATGATTTAAGGAGTGAAATAGATTTTTGAAGTTTTAGAAGTGTTATCTAAACATCCGTCAAACTTAAGAGGCGTTCTTTTACATTTCTCGAGTTAAGGGATGGTTATAAACAACCGCCTCATCATAACATATGAAACACTTGATATATTGTATAAACGTTTTGCTCTGTGACTTCAAAATTTTGTTTGAAGGAAGTTCGTGCGCAATAACTAGCAGCATTAAGTTACTCCCGTATTCAGATATTAAACGCATGATACATGGCTAAATAGCACCTTCGACTTTTGTGTGCTTTGCATTTATACACCTTCACTTGTTTTTGACAACACATGTATACCTTGGAGGCTTTATATTTGCACAATAATAACTTTTGTTAATTATAGCACTTTAATATCTTGTGTTATGCAAATGTGGGTATTTTCTCTCAAATTTCCCAATGTGACACTTACAAGGTAATCTTAGAATTTTGTAGTTCTTAATGTTTGTTAAATTCGTTGTTAAACACACTTTTATTTTATTTCTTCTACTACTACACATGACTTTTATGTTTTTGACCCACTTAAGTTTCTTACCTTAAGTTCTACGCTTATTTTAAGAGAAATAAAGAGTCCCAAATCAATTTTAACTAAATATTCAAATTAAAGATTAATGCATTAAGATTATAAATGAACAATTTTCAATTGTGAATATAAATGTTATTTGAAAAAAAAATCAAATTCTTTAGAAAAATAAAAATACATATTTAATCAAATAAGAGTATTGTCTTATTTAAATAGTTTAACGCTCATAAACTATAAACCATTAGTTAGATAAGTATACTTCCTATTTGACCAATATTCATGAATATATGATAAATATTTGCACTCAGATTTGAATTTGAAGAAAATCAAAGAAGAATTTTTGAATTTGAATATTGCAGGTAGATACAAATATGAAATAATTTTTGAATTGATTTGATTTGATTGGTATTATGGATCGGCTTAGATGTAAATTAGTTATGAATATATTGGTTTATTTATGAGAATGTATTTTAGGGGCCGTTTGGTTGGTTTTCTAAAAAACAAGAAAATGAAATTGGTACAAGGAAACCAATAAAATAATATTTTTATCCATTTACATCCCTAAAACTCACCCACCACATCCAATAAAATAATATTTTTATCCTCCAACTCATCTCACTTCATCTCACTTCTTACCTTTAAAAATAAACTAAACACAAGAAATGTGTCACATCATCCAACCCATTACATCTCATCTTATCTTACTTTTTAAAATCACACACATCATCCAATAATATTGTAACAACTCATCTCATCTCATTAAACCTTCCTTTCCATCCACTTCCTCAAAAAAAACAAGAAATTGATTTTCTTAAGTATGTGTCACATCATCCAATAATATACCTCCAACTCATCTCATCTCATCTATTTTCTTATTTTTAAAAATGAACCAAACACAAACAACCTCAAAACTGTGAACAATATTGGCTTGTAGGGACCACGAGTTCAATGCAATATCATGTGAAGAGATGGGAAACGGACGTGGGGACCACGAACCCACGTGAAGAGTTCAAAACCACTTGGCCACGAAGTCTGGAAACCGCGTTTGAGGAGTTTGTTCAGCGGACAAATGAATGCCCACCCGAAACATTGCAGCTGCTATATATATCTTTGTACATGTACCTAGGTTTTCGGGCTTGGTGAGTGCAGGAGCTCCTTTTTGCGGCTACGAAAGAAAAGAAAAAGGAGGTGCAGGTGCGGAAGCAAAGGGGAGAAAGAGAATAGGCGGCTGAGTTCTTCTTGGGCTTCGTGAATTCTATTTGGCGGCTGTTTTGTGAAGAGAGAAAAAGTATTTGGAGGTTGACCTTTTCTTGTAAAGAAAAGCAAGGAGCCTATTTGAGGGTTTAGATAGTGAGAGTTGTAAACACAGTTGTATTTTTTTTCTCTATAATAGTAGATCTCCCCCTCCTTGCCCCGTGGACGTAGGCAGTTTGCCGAACCACGTAAAATTGGTTTGTTTGAGTTTGTGGCCATTATAATAGTTTTTTAGGATCCCTCGACGCGCAGTCCTAGAGCTGACGAGAGGAAGAGCAAATATCCCACTTTGATGGGATATTAGGCTTTCAGATTCTTGTTCCCTTTGAGAAACAAGAATTCTTATCGATCTTTCTCTCTTATTGTGCACCAGAAACTCTGCCGAAATTTTCGCTGCGCACAATAAGTGGTATCAGAGCCCAGATTCCAGATCTAGGGTTTGGTTGGAGGAGTAGATCAATTTGGAGGCTCGTTTAGGGCTTCGTTGGTGATAAAGGTGGGATCTTTTGGTAAAGACTCTATCTTTCAGTTTTGGATCTATTCTTCGTTCGTTGGTGCGTAAGATGTCGGGGAAAGAAGGTGCTTCGGGTGTCGAGGGTTGGTGCGTAAGATGTCGGGGAAAGAAGGTGCTTCGGGAGTCGAGGGTGGTTCTTCTGGCGTGAAGACTATTCAGAGTTTGAATATCCACTCTATGAAGATAGATGTGGAGAAATTTAATGGCACAAACAATTTTGGATTATGGAGATGCGAGGTTTTGGATGCGCTGAACGCGCAGAATTTGGAGGATACTTTGGAGTTAGATGACAAGCCAGATGAGATTGAAGAAAAGGTTTGGAAGAAGATGAATCGAACGGCGTGTGGTGTGATTAGATCTTGTTTGACTCAAGATCTAAAATATGATGTGATGAATGAGACTTCTGCGAAGAAGATTTGGGAGATTCTCGAAAGCAAGTATTTGACCAAGAGTGTGGAAAATCGCTTGCATTTGAAGAGGAGACTTTATCGTTTCCAGTTGAAGAAGGGAACCTCCATTAGAGATCACATGAACCACTACACAAAGCTTCTTGCGGATTTGGCGAATGTGGATGTCAAGATTGAAGATGAGGACAAGGCGTTGCTGTTGTTGAGTTCCTTGCCCGACGAGGAATATGAGACCTTCGTTCTTACTCTGATTAATGGGAAGGCATCACTTTCGTATAGTGAGGTCACCGCTGCACTTGTGAATTATCAGCTTCGAAAGAAGGATAAGGAGGCTTCGGTTGAGCCGGTAGCGGAGGCGTTGGTCGCAAGAGGGAAGGGTCCAAACCGAAAGAATTGGAAGTCACAGTCTAGAGTAGGAAAAGATCAGTGTGCTTGGTGCAAGGAGACTGGTCATTGGAAGAAAGACTGCCCAAAGCTCGACGAATGGATGAAGAATAAGCAGAAGGGAAAAGGGAAGCAACCATCATCAGAAGCAAACATCGTATCGGATGGTAATAATTCTGACTCTTCTATTTATTCGCTTTCTATCAGTCCTACAGATAGCTATTCGGAGGAATCTGAATGGATGTTGGATAGTGGTGCGACCTATCATGTGTGCCCTAGAAGGGAATGGTTCTCCAGTTTTGAGAAGCTGGTGGATAGTGGTGTGGTGTACATGGCTGATAACCGTGCATGTCAGATCCTTGGGATAGGAAGAATTCGCATAAAGATGTTTGACGGGACTGTTAGAGAGTTAAACGATGTGAGATATGTTCCTTCTTTGAGGAAGAACTTGATCTCAATTGGAGCTTTAGTTGGAGATGGTCTGAAGGTTCGTGTTGAGGACATGGTTCTCGAGATTGCGAGAGACTCTCGTATTTTGATGAAGGGCGTCAGGAGGAATAACCTGTATTACTTGACTGGAGGTATAGTAACAGGTGGAGAGCTGGCGACTTCTGTTGATTCGACTAGACTGCGGCATTTGGGGCTTGGCCATTCCAGTATTGATTCCTCGCATAGATTGAAAGAGGGTGCGAAGACCTACAGTTTGAAGTCCAGTGAACATGTTGATGTGAGCAAGAAGACCGAGGTGAAGTGTGGCACCTCTATTCACCGTGCTAAGGGTCGTTCTAGAGGAGTTCACATGGATGTTTGGGGGCCTTCCAAGGGGGCATCATTGGGAGGTAATAGGCGTTTGGTTTCCTTTGTTGGTGACTGTTCTAGGCGTGTTTGGGTTGCAACCAAATCCCCTTTGGAGAAAGTCCTAGTAGTATCCAACAGATTGAAGAAGTGTGATATTGGCAGAAAGGTGAAGGTACTTCACTCTAGTTTGGATGGGAGATACAAGATGGACCTGTTTCTGTATTGGAGCCGAGCTCACGGCATTTCGAGACACTTTGTTAGAAAGGAAATCTTGGGGCAACTAGATAGAGTGACAAATTTAGAGAACCGTGCCTTGCTGGAGGAGGATCGTTGTTTGTTGTCAAGCAATGGTCTGCAGAAGAGTTTCTGGACAGAGGCTTTGACATATTTGGGTCATCCTATTAAAGAGTTGTCAACTGCTGTGATTGGAGGTAAAACTCCATTGGAAGATAGGTCTGGTAGTGTCACTTTGGTTGAGGCTTCGATGAGGAAGCCAATTGACTCTCAGCAGGTGGAGAGTTTTGGACAGACCTTAGAGGTATCGCAGCGGGTGGAGACTGATGCTACTCCATATTGGGTGGGGATTTTCCCACATACTCCAGGTCATTCTGCATTGGTTGGGATTCCAGCTGAGGTGACACAGCGTGGAAGTTATTTGGATTCGGATGCAGATGATGAGTTGGGTTTTGACTCGAGTGCAGCTGATAGATGCAGTTTGGATATGCAGATGATGAGTTGGGTTTTGACTCGAGTGCAGCTGATAGATGCAGTTTGGATATGACCATTGGTTCAGCTCAGGTGGAGGTGTTTGAGGCCATTGGAGGTGCTATCAGCCGCAGAGTAGATGATATTGGAGAAGAGTTGCGAACTCTTCTAGTGAATTGAGGTCGTTAGCGGCCATTTGAGTGAACTACGTTCGGTTTGATTCCTTGGGCAAGAGGATACGTATGCAGTCTTTACGATGCAGCCGGGTTGGATTTGATGGGGGTGAGATCGATTTGGTGAGTTGATACCGACTTTTGGAGAGTGTTTGCATTCTCATTTGGGTTCTCGACTTGTTATGGATTGAGTCTGTTGTCGTGAATTGTTTCACGATGTACTGGACACAACAAGTGAGACATTTGGTTTGGTTGGTGTCGGCTCAGTTTTGAGAAAACTTCGCCGAGGTGGAGAATTGTGAACGATATTGGCTTGTAGGGACCACGAGTTCAATGCAATATCATGTGAAGAGATGGGAAACGGACGTGGGGACCATGAACCCACGTGAAGAGTTCAAAACCACTTGGCCACGAAGTCTGGAAACCGCGTTTGAGGAGTTTGTTCAGCGGACAAATGAAGGCCCACCTGAAACATTGCATCTGCTATATATATCTTTGTACATGTACCTAGGTTTTCGGGCTTGGTGAGTGCAGGAGCTCCTTTTTGCGGCTACGAAAGAAAAGAAAAAGGAGGTGCAGGTGCGGAAGCAGAGGGGAGAAAGAGAATAGGCGGCTGAGTTCTTCTTGGGCTTCGTGAATTCTATTTGGCGGCTGTTTTGTGAAGAGAGAAAAAGTATTTGGAGGTTGACCTTTTCTTGTAAAAAAAAGCAAGGAGCCTATTTGAGGGTTTAGATTGTGAGAGTTGTAAACCCAGTTGTATTTTTTTCCCTATAATAGTAGATCTCCCCCTCCTTGCCCCGTGGACGTAGGCAGTTTGCCGAATCACGTAAAATTGGTTTGTTTGAGTTTGTGGCCATTGTAATAGTTTTTTAGGATCCCTCGACGCGCAGTCCTAGAGCTGACGAGAGGAAGAGCAAATATCCCACTTTGATGGAATATTAGGCTTCAGATTCTTGTTCCCTTTGAGAAACAAGAATTCTTATCGATCTTTCTCTCTTATTGTGCACCAAAAACTCTGCCGAAATTTCCGCTGCGCACAACAAAAACATCATGCAATAATATATCTCCAATTCATTTCCTTATTTTTTTTAACCAACCAAACAACCTCAAAACAAGTTTTTTTTTAAAATCACTCACATCATCCAATAATAAGGTGACAACTCATCTCATCTCCTATTATATAGTTTTCTTCTTTTTTAATCCAACCAAACAATCTCAAAACAATTATTATAGGAAATATGTTTCCTATTCTTTGATTTCCCAATTTTTTTGCGAAATGAACAGACCCTTAGTCAGTTCTTTGGCTAATTCTTTTTTAGCCAGTTATTTATGAGAATGTACTTCTGTCAGATCGCTGAAACTAGATAAAAAAATAATAAATAAGTACAAATTAGGTGGAAAGTGCTAAACAAGTTTAAAAAATGGTCAAAAATGAAAATATGTCCATCGTATTTTCAGAGATAAATTAGCCTATTATTCATTCTAAATTTCTAATGAAATAGAACCCCGACTTCTCTCAAAAAAGAGTCCCTGCTAAATTAAGCTTCAGGGCGTCTGTGCTCCATCTGCGACGAGAGGAGGGCCGCCCTCAATCAAAAGGAGGAATAATCCTAATTAATGGCGGATAGTGATGCAACGGCGAACACGAAGAGAGCTTTAGGGCGTCTGTGCTCCGTCTGCAACGAGAGGAGGGCCGCCCTCAAGCGACCCAAAACCCTAGAACAGGTAACCTAATTACACGAGCTCCGTTATGATTGTAGAATCTTACATATTACAATCTTGAAAGATTTGAGTAAATTTTAGGCTTGATTCGGCATTGGACCCCTATATTAAGCTTATTTTGAAATAAATCCTTTAAATTAGGCAGTAGCTTGATATTTCCATCTTTGAATCAATGTATAAATCTCCAAGTCTTCTGATGCAGTAGGGTAGACAGCTATTTGGTGCACCATTAATAGAATAGAACAGGACCACTAGATACTTGGTCGATATTGACAGTGGAAACAGAGGCTAGACTTTATGGAGGTTGAATTATTGTCTCTTTGTATATATAAACAGTTCATGCCCAATGAAACAAAATGCATTCCTAGTGTCAAAGAAAGGTGGAGAGGCACAAGCAATAACGCTGCCAAGTTCTAGTTTTCTATCCTGAAGTTTGGAAGATGAAGACCTTTCTATATGCTCGTTTACGGTTTACTAGATACCCGAAATGATGAAACCACATCCTGAAGCAGTTTACTTATATCAAATTATCTTTTAACCATAGTTGCATGGTACCCGGTTCGTTTTGGTTCACAGGACTGGATCGGGAGTGTGATACGCCACCTATTTGGAATTGGGTACAAGGGTGTGGGCTTATATGGTCCTCTGGGGAAATGTGGTATGCTTTAGGTTCGGTGTTGAGATATAGGAATTTAAGCGCCCTTGATATATGATATTTTGCAAGGGTCAAATTCAAGGATCAATAATGGTAAAATAATTCTCCTGTTGCAATTAAGGAGCACTCTTTGTTGCTTATATTTCTGAAAATTGTTGTTTTCTATCAAATATTAATGGAATTAAATTGTAAATGGGTTGCAAAGTTGGTGGATCGCTCGGGAACGTGACTCAATTGTCTAGTGTAGTGTGTTCCTAGATGATTGAAACCGGGTCTGGTTCGCTATAGCATTCCACATTTTTGAGATCTATGCTTTTGACCATCTTATTCGATAAAAAGAAAAAGAAAAAAAATATCTTTAAACCTGCTAATGCTGGCCTAGCATGCTTAGAAATAAAAATTGCTTCCAGATTGGTATTAGATTCTTTTTATTTTTACTCTTTTGAATAGTGTTATCAAAGGCACATGCCTCAATGCGGCTTATGCACCCTGTGATGTGGAGCGATGGCGAAGTTCCCCCCATCTGACGCGGCATCGCGTATTTGCACCTCACAAGTGCCCTACATGTAGCTTATATATTTTTGTTCTTTAACATTTTAATCCGACTTTGTACCTGATAATCCATATCCCCAAAAGCAAAATAAGTCCATTAGTTCTTTTTAGTAGCCTAATTGAGAATCCTAAATGGCTCTTGACTACTATTTGACTTTGCTTCGATATTAATCTTCATTTGACTTTTGATTTGGAATATTGTGGACTTTAGTACTTCTTTGGATGCATTAGCACTATGAATTAAGACTAATTTTTGTGATTGCTAGTAGATGTTATTTATCTTGACATATTTTTTATTTGAAAATTCTTAAAGATAACCTTTTGTGCTTGATTATCTATTTTGAAAAATTATGTGTGCGGTATGCGCCTCGCTTCACTGGTCACGTGCATTGCATTGCACCTTTTGCATGTTCGCATAGAGGGACTTTGCGCCCCATATTGCGCCTTGCGCATTGATGACACTGCTTATGAAATGAACCATGTTTTTGTTGTCTCACTTCAATGGGTCATGATTTGATCTTTCAATAATTATAGCAATCATTTTCTCCTCATTTATTGTTAGTGAAAGCTTGAATATTTTCTCCTTCAGATTTGTCGGGAATGCTTCTACATCGTCTTTGAAGAGGAGATTCATCAAGTTATTCTAAGCAATAATTTATTCAAGCCTGGTGAAAGAGTTGCAATTGGTGCATCAGGAGGGAAAGGTGTGAGTTTTATTGAAAACAACTTAATGTTGATATTCTTCTTTGTGTATTTTTTAATTTTCCATTCACAAAATTGGCAATAATGGCTATAACATTTATTTTTATATGCAGATTCAACTGTACTTGCTTATGTATTAAATGAACTAAACCATAGGCACAATTATGGCCTAGACCTATTTCTTTTGTCTGTTGATGAAGGGATTACTGGTTACAGGGATGACTCACTAGAAACTGTCAAAAGGAATGAAATTCAGGTTTGCTGATCTTCTATACCCTAGCTTGTTACGATTGAAGATTGCTGTGTATGTCTTATGGTTACCAAAGCTTTACTTCTATTTTATGGAGTATCATATTGTTTTCATGATTTTACATTTTTCCTGGCTTTTCTTGCAACCGTTTATTATTAAGGTTTCTTTGTTATTGATTATGTAGTGCATATTAAATTAAACAAAAGTAACAAGTATATACAAATTCTCATTCATTAATGAATTATTGAGCATATGATTGAACAAATAATTTTACAATAGAATTTAGCTACTACACCTTACAAGAAAAGCAAATCTTTCCTTTGAAGGGTTCGATTGATGACTCCAAGAATCCTTCCCAGAATAAAATTTTGACTTATGTTGCCTGTGAATGTCATTTGTCTTTTTCAGTCCTATATGATTTTGAGGTTAATCTTTCTATGATCTCTTAATACATTCTCCACATTTCCATATCACTCTACATTGCTTTTTAATGTTACGTTTGTCCTTTATCATGTTACTCTTGAATTTACTACAATACTCGGAGCTTGTTTTTTGCATCATGAGGTTAGGAGTATATCAGATGATCATGGATGAGTTAATGGTCTTCAAATATGATCATGAGGTTAGAAGCAGTTAACCTTCTGACTTACCGCCGATGTATTCCTTCAATATTGTTGCTATTAATGGTCTTCAAATATGAGTTTCTATTCTTATTAATGCCCTGCAACAATTTTCAAGTTTAGCTTGATGATGACAACTGTAACAGCGATGTCTGTAATTTATCAGCTTGTGGCACAGTCTAATAGGCATTTAATGTATACATTATTAGTGTGCAAGTCTGGGGTACCCAATTAGGCAATTTTGTATTGGCTTTTTTGCTTGGTATGTACTTTAAAAAATATAACATTACATCATCTGGGAGACAAATGATATCAGTGTCATCAAGATAGTATCAACCATAAGCAAATCATGGCAAGTGCATTTATTTCACGATTAAGGGCATTTCTTTTTATAGGTCTATAATGGACAGTCATCAATCTTGCTCCATAACTGACATTACTAGCTTTGACTATGCCTTAGTTACTCCCTGTAATGCAAGTCAACAAGGAGAAAGCAGGTTATTTGCTGGCAAGGTTGTAGCATTTAGTTTATGATTGTTTTTGCAAAGAAACATGGTCCCGTCATTTTTCTTAGGATGAAGGAAAATCAATATTTTCTGGTCTATTAGTTGGATTTAGGTACCCAGAACATAGTTTTTGTCATCTTTGTTCTAACAAGTTCATTAACAGTGATTCTGCATCTATACTATTATATTAAAAACTGTAGTGTAGCAAAAATTTTGAAGGAGAGGAGGAATCTCCTTCAAATGCAATAAAGACATGAGGACAATTATGACATTCTATTTGAATAGTTAAATCTTTCACAATTCCCTATGTACCATCTCTCTTATACACGATTAATTTAAAACACTTAACAAATTCCCTCCCTAGCAAAAAACTCAATAAAAACTTTGAAAATAGATATTCTACAAGAAGATACAAATCCTTCAAATAAAAATAAAGAATAAACTACAATAATGCAATTACAATTACTAAACCTAGAGATCTCAAAATTTTCAAGGGGAAATTTGGTATATCAATTTCAAACTAAATGTTTTTCTTAATCATTTTCAGAATGGAATACAATGTTGGACAACAAGCAGTAAAGTATCTGTGTAGTTACTATCTTAATAAATTTTTAAAATTTGGAACTTTCAAGACATAAAATAATCAACTCGAATTATAAAATTAAAGAATTTAAGTCCTTAAAACAGCACTGACTTACTGCTCTATACTTTACTATGAAAAATGATATAACATTAATATTTATAATTAAAAGAATTTATTTTATTTTAAAACACTAGGTTATGACTAACCTTTTAAAAATTCGAAAAAGAAGTTTTAATATCCAGCACATGGATTTGCGCATGCAAAGTTGCTATTTATGTATAAAGTTCCTTTCATTTTCTATCAAAAGAAGGTTAACCGAGTAATGTTTACCACAGAGTTTTGAATTTTCTATTAATGGTTAAATGCAAAATTGGACCTCCATTTGCTATTCAGATTATCAAAAAATGCAATTTCAAGTGTATTTGAATGTAAAGATTCTATTCGCAGTTTGTTATAATATATGTGCTCCATATTTTGTTTAGTTCCTCCGGCTTTAACTGTAAAGTTACCATGCATATTTATACATACAAGTAGACACATGTGAGCTTAGAATTTCCTTGCATAAGATACTTCCAGCTAGAAACTTTGTCAAGAGTTCTTTCTAAAACTACTTTTCGTTCTCTGTAAAAATGCTTTATATGCAGTTCGTGTTGTAGAATCAGGGAAACATAGGTAAGAAATCATAGGACTAATGCAAGGTTGCAAACTCTCACATTTTTTAAACATTTTTCTTCATACAAATATGTTATTTTCTTTCTTTCTAGTTTAAACATTTCTTCGTAGTCAGGCTTAAACAGGTTGTTTAGTTTGTCTACTGAGTCTGGCCTATGAACAACTTGTATATATTTAGGCACACAAATGAAAAATAAAAAGGGTAGAGAAAATATATTGTTGTCTTCTTGCTTTTGTGATATTTCAGATGACTTTCTGGTTATAACTCTTGAAAGTTTTGGCATGCTCCAAGTGCTCATTAACTTCAAAAAATTTCTTTGTATTGCTCATTAACTTCAAAAAATTTCTTTGTATTGCCATGTTCGCTTTCTTTTTCCTCCAGAGATTCTATGATTTATATTCCTATTTTAATTCTTGCAGTATGGATTGCCATTGAAAGTGGTTTCTTACAAGGATTTATATGGTTGGACAATGGATGAAATAGTGAAGGCTATAGGCTTGAAGAATAATTGCACCTTTTGTGGTGTTTTTCGTCGTCAGGTACATATGTTGCCTTTGTTTACTGTGTTAGGCATGTTATATTTCATCATTCTAGTGATTCAGTTTCACTAGCTACAGATGCATATCTTGTGTATCGCGATGTTTATTACTGACCTTGAGCTCTTGCTGCATTCAGTTTTATAATGATGCCTCCAATTCAAGGCATTGCTGTTTTACACTGCTAGCTGAATGACTTATTTTATAATTAATAGGCACAGTGAAAGGGTATAAAAGGTTACGTTCCTAGATGCACATGTCCTCTAGGTTATAAATAGATACTTCTCAATATTTTTATTTGTCTTTCCCTCTTGTACTTCTCGCCTGTTTCTGTATATTGTATCTTATAGCAGTTACTTATCATGCTTAGGGGTGAAAGTTGGTTGAACAATTATCAAATAGTTCGATTGTTATTTAACTATTCGTTCAAATTCGATTTGGAAGATTATTTAAGAGAAGGAAAATATCTTTTAGTACTCGGATACTAAATGAATCAAATATGTGTATGTACATATCCAGTTCATTTCCTTATGAAAAATGCATTTAAAGTTTGGTTCTTTCTGATCTGTGTAATCATACACATGTTTTGTTTGGAACCTCCTTATATTTTCTACGTTCAATGATAATTTTGAAAGTCTTAAATGTCCAAAATTAACAAATATTCAAATTGCAGATTTATATAAAGGAATAATTTTCAATTGTGAATTCAATTCTAGGTTGCATGGGTATGGGTACTGGTATGGTTACGGGACATAGCAAATTTGTAAAAGGTAGGGTATGGGAATGCGACTATATATATGCATGTGAAGTGGACATCCAGGCATGTGCACGAGCACGTGATTTTCAACGTGTTTATTAGCGTGTGCATCGATTCCCTTCTATGTGGTTTTGATTTTCAGTTTATTAGTTATTTCAGTTTTAGTAGTTAATTTGACAGTTGAATTGTGGTTTAGATTTAGTAGTTGAGTGATTTAGGGAATCTTCTAAATCTGTAATTTTTCTTTTCTATTTAAATGCTGTTGTAATCAGATTTGTGATCGAGGACAAAATTTTGAAAAGAAAATAATTGTGATTACCTGAATATTTGGTGTGAAACCGCACAACCTAGAGGTGTGAAACCCTAGCCGCCGTCTTCCTCCCCGCACCCTCCACAAAGCC